CATTGCCTCAAACGCAAAACTATACGATCGCAGTCCAACCTGTGTGGTGATAACGTTGCCAGAATGGACGGACGATTTTTACAACCAAAGAAAAGACAAGGTTTACAAATCGGAGGCAGAGATGATGCAAGTGGCAATGGAACTCTCAAAAATCAATGTCCAGATGAAAACCGGTGGACCATTTGGAACCGCRATTTTCGAATACGACCCCTCAACCGATCAGTGCACGCTGTTTTCCATCGGCGTCAATCGGGTTGTTCCGCTCGGGAATTCGACGCTGCACGGGGAAATGACCGCCATCCAGTTCGGACAACAAAAAATTGGCAATTTTTCCTTCTCGTCCGCGGGATCAAAAGCCGGCAAGGAATACCACCTGTATACGTCGTGCGCTCCCTGCTGCCAGTGCCTCGGTGCGACCATGTGGTCGGGGGTCTCGAAGCTTGTTTGCGGTGCAACCAAAGACGATGCCGAGGCGATTGGCTTTTCYGAGGGCCCCGTCTTTGATCCGCAATCGTACGACGCCCTGGAAGACGCCGGGTGCAGGGTCGTCAGGGACGTATTGCGCGAGGAGTGCAAGGAGGTCCTGGATTGGTACGGAAGGAATGGTGAAATCTACAACCCGTGAATCGCCGAAACGTCGTTCGTGCCARCCGCAGACGCATAAAACGAAAGGAAAACTAAGACAGCTTGGTTTTGCTGCGAAGAAAACTRCGAACATCCATGTCGATGCGCATCGGACCGACGATTCGTGGCATTAGTTGGACATTGTTACTTGGGTAAAGTACGGCTGACTGATTTAGTTTAATCTTGTCCGAAACCAACTTGCGTTGTGGTGAATACGAGTACCTAAAGATTCTACGAAACTTAGAATAAACTAATATCTTTGAAAACAAGTCTATCTTCGCCAGCAAATTTCTTTTGGCGTGCCATGTTAAATTTTAAAATCGCATCACATGAAAGATGCAGAGTGAAGGAGCCTTCGTCGCCGTTGACAAAAAGCCGTGTCATCGGAATAAAAAGAGCAGTCAAATTCAATCCCAATRGTATCTGATACAGACYGATAGAAGTCTACCTTTCTGAATATTTAGGCGCGCTTTGCAAGGGCAGCATTGATGGATTCCGTGATGTCCTTGGAGACGTCAGCCGGTGCACGGTTTCCGTCGATGGAGACCATGATGTCTTCGTACGAACCCTTGACGGCAGCAACGTTGGTGTGGAATTGTTCGAGACGAACGACAACCTTTTCTTCGGTATCGTCACTGCGGTGTTCCAATCGGGCAATGAGTTCTTCGTCGTCGGCGGGGGGAGGAGAAAATGTCATGTGGTAGATCTTTCCGGTCTCGGGGTCCGTTCTGCGTCCTACGACACGCTCGACAAGRATTTCGTCGGGAACGTCCAAGAACAGGAAGCAGTCGGCTGTGCAGCCAGCTTCGGCAAGGGCCTCGGCCTGGGCCGCGGTTCTTGGGAATCCATCGAGCAACCAACCCTGGGTCTTGCAGTCGTCTTCCTCGAGACGATCACGGATGATGCCGATGATAACCTCGTCGGGAACGAGTTTTCCGCCGTCCATGTATTCCTTGGCTTTGACACCGACATCGGTACCGGCTGCGACCGCGGCACGCAACATATCGCCAGTCGACAAGTGGACGACGGAAAACTCTTCCTTGATGATTTCGCATTGTGTGCCCTTTCCACTGGCGGGTGCACCGGCAATGATAATATTTACGGGGGAACCAGCGGAAGAATCGTCACCGACAGCGGCATCGGCACTCAAGCCTCTTCCCTCCAGCCACTTTTGCTTCGATTCCCACTTCGAGGCTGCCTTCGATCCCATTTCGAGGACGACGCTCGATGGCGACGACGCGGTTGGGACACGTTGAACATTGGGGTGTGCCTGGGGCACCGGGAGAAACGCCGTCGTTGGGGCGATGGAAGAAAGAGCGAGCAGCAAGATGGAAGAAAATTTCATTTTGATTGTGTAGGTGTTGTTTGGTTTCTTGTTTTGTGTTTAATTGTTTTTGTTTTGTGAATCTGAAATATATTGTCGTACCGTCGGGGTGGTTGTACCGGTACGAGTACCGGAATCATCGTCATCTGGTCAGGAAGAAGAGCACCTGCCAATGAAGATCGTTGTTCTACGATAATTACTGCAGATTAGGAGAACGGTCGTGTCAAAGACGGAATATGCAATGAGAGACGTACGTACGTACTCGTACTCATCCCTGGGACCACATACCTCCGTACTCTACGTACCACACAATTCTAAAAATTTATTGTGTGGCTCCAAGAAGATCTTCTCCCCCACTTCCACGACCCAAAAATGATGATGACTCGATGGACTCACTAMTGTAATSAGATAACGTATGGGAGGACACCATCTTAAAATCCTGCGAAGAACCTGTGTTCCTCAATGATCTCGAAAAGATGCGATGTAACAGATGGTATCGTATCGTACTTCACTTCTAYTTCGGAGAAGTATTTCTACATGAATGAGTRGYACTTTGCAAACAAGATCATATTTGTCTGGGTGGCTTYTTTGTTGATGACGATGTTGATGAGGCAAGATAAGTCCATTGTTAAACATAACCTGTGAAGTATGCATATGCTCTCTAGTGCCGCATCTACGAGTTTAGAACAAAGARTAAGATTATTCACCATGTACTGGTGATAAAGGTTCACATGGCTAGCTAGTTAAAGTAGTAGATGAAGGAACACTTTGAATACTTTCCGATGTTGCCTATAATGGAAATTRTTTCGACTGGAATGCTGTTATCGAGGCAGGGCAATCCAGAAGGAATCTTATTTGTGTGTGTTCTAGAAATRTTATAATGGTGTTTCTGTGTGCAATTGGTGGATCCAGCCCATTGAGCACATGATTGTCTACACATTCTGATACGCAGCTTGTTTTTTGTTGACTGCGATTGGTATGCCGGCATTGTCTGCRTTGGATGGAAAAGATTCTCTGCGATCCGAAAGGGGAACGAAATAATATGTTGCAGTCTCGTGAAATCTATCGAACGCTATTTTGATTTCTCGCTCAATTCAATCACTTCATCCACAGTTATAGTCTACVACAAAATTCGACAAGGAAAAATTCAAGGGCATAGAAAGGTTACACAGATTGAAAAGGAATTGGACCGCACGAATTCATGGTTTAGTCGATCATGTGCTTGCGCAATTCAGTGTGTATCGTACTAGAGGTGCGACATGCATGGCCTGTGCTTCCTTGAGGCAAGCGCATGCTTTGATTCATTCAGACTCACCTTRCAATCCCCTGCAAAGGCATTGTCTTCAGTGAGAAACAGCATGCAATGGCAYACTTTTTCTTCTCTCATGGGAACGCATGGACAGTTCCAGTAACCGTCTTTCACCTCTTTTTCCTTGTCGTCRTAGAATCGGCACGGACACAGCGGCGCGCCTAAGTCCACCTTGTGCTCKGCCAATCCTTTGATCACAACCGCAGCAATCGACTTTTCGGAGCAAAGGGTCGTGTTCGTATTTTTAAGGTACGAATTGGTGAAGGCGGTCATGGCTTTTGTGGCCTTGCCAATTTTTATGTCTCGTTCCTCTGGTGTCAAGCCGTCGCTCTTCAAGTGTAGTAGCTGTCGACCAGTACCGGGATGAGGATATCCCCTCGAA